AAAAAAAGGAATGAAATTATAAATAAATAAAAAACAAAGATGAAGCAATAACGTACAATCCCCAAGAAAAAGCAACAATTTCTATCATTGCGCAAGTAAAGTCACGTGAAAATATAAAATTCAATATTTAATAGGAATTGGAATTTAAGTAAAATTGCGTGAGATATGCGTTTTAGTAAAATGGATGCACGTATTAACGTAACTGACATCTTCCGTTACAAAAATGCCGATTTGCGTTATACGAAAATGCCCTTTAATTGATCGCAGATGAATATGATATTTGGATGGTTGTGATTTGTTCTCACTTCTCACATTAAGGAGTGTTCTCATTTGAACCAAAATCTATATCTCTATATATATATATATATATATATATATATATATATATATATATATATATATATATATAGCGGTTCCGGTGAGAATAGAGTTCCAGGAGAGAAATGAGAATAAAATCTAGCCATTGAAAATTGTGATCGTGTGGCTATGATAATAATGAAATACAATAATGGCTGAGTAATTCCCATACGGATAGTGGTTCTTCACAAGGAAAGATTGCACATTAACTGTACCGTAAGGGCATTATTGGAAATGATTGTAGCATGTGATTAGTTAGCATTTGAACGTGTGGTGCTATTTTTGTTAAGGAAACCTTATTCTTAAGATATTTCCTAGAAATATGGGATTTGAAATCATTTGCAAAAGAAATCTTCCGTAAAACATTAACTACTATTTTTTTTGAAATAAAAAAACATTAAGGTAATTCAAATATTTTAATAAGTTTTGCAGACGTGATATGAATGTTGCACATTTTAAGTGTAAATACTGCATTAAATTTTGGTGAAGCTGAAATATGCATCAGGTGTAATTAAAATGTGCAGAATTAAAGGTAAAAATCAAATGTGCATTACGTGAAATTGAAATGTGCAGAATAAAAAGCACAAAAATGTCACTGCATCGTATCTTTTATTTTGCATATTTCAGATTCAACTAATACACATTTTAATTTCACCTAATGCACAATTTAGCTTTACAAAATTTTATTGTGTCGTACCTTTTGTATTGCACATTTTTATTTCACCTAATGCACATTTTAATTTCACCTAATGCTCATTTTTCTCCTAAAATCTTTTATCATTTGAACCTATTTCTATAAACATGTACACTTTTATATTGCACATAGCTTCTAAAAATTTGCACATTAGTCCATTTAGGCATACGAATTTTCGACAATGGAAATTAACTATTTAATAATTATTTGGCATTGCTCTCAAATAAATTAGACACGTTGGTAATTTTTTTATATTTATCTTTTTATAATACAAATAGTCTTACAATAAGTGGCCAGGATGGGAGAAAAGGATATAAAAATACTCCATACTATATGTAGGAAACGGAAGAAATAACTTTACCTTTTTACATGGATAAACAATTAATGTGCCTTAAATGAGGAATGAAAATTTCAGAAATACCCTTAGCCGATAACAATAAGATAAAATAATCCAAGGGTTGTAGTTCATTCTCATTTCTCTCCTTATATGGTTTTCTCACTTGATCCTAAATCTATATATATATATATATATATATATATATATATATATATATATATATATATATATATATATATATATAGAGAGAGAGAGAGAGAGAGAGAGAGAGAGAGAGAGAGAGAGAGAGAGGTCTTCTTGTCAGGCCGGCCTGACGGGATGCTCCGTCCGGCCGAGCCCGTTTGGGCATCTTCCCAGTGAAATTTTTTGATGAAATTTTTTGAGCATGTTCCTTATCAAGTCTAGTTTGTCCATACCAAATTTCAGCTCAAAATTCGATCGGGAAGGCATTCAAATCATTTTTTGAAGTTGACTATGTCAAAGTATACATATAAAACTGCAGTTAACTTCAAAAAATGATTTGAATGCCTTCCCGATCGAATTTTGAGCTGAAATTTGGTATGGACAAACTAGACTTGATGAGGAACATGCTAAAAACATTTCATAAAATATCCACTGGGAAGGTGCCCAAACGAGCTCGGCCGGACGGAGCATCCCGTCAGGCCGGCCTGACATGAAGATTTGTCTATATATATATGAACACACACACACACACACACACACACACATATATATGTGTGTGTGTGTGTGTTCGAATAGTATTTGAATCGAATATCATAGTATTTGTATTCGTATTCGTAAAGTATTCGAATCAAAAAACAGATTTGTATTTGTATTCGTATTCTACTTGTTCGAATTCGAATCGACATTTTCGAATTCGAATCACGAATCGAATCAAAATTATTCGATTCGTTTACAACCCTAATTATATGGTACCCATAAGGTACCGGCGTATACCATACGGCCGGTTGTACGGCTGGCACCGTACAGCCGGTGGCAGGTTTGTAATTTTGATGAAGTTCATGGTTTCTCTTAAATGAGCATTGATGTAATTTGGATGAGCATCGAGTCTGTTTTTCTGAGTATTAGGAGCCTAACAATGAACATCAATGATCGTTGCTTCATATCTTCTAATTGAGTTCCTTTTTATTATTTATCGTTTATAAAAAATCTTAAATTATGTTTATAATTAATTTCAATATGTGAATCTAATGTAGTATGATATGTTTGATATATGCATCATTTTAAAATGAGCATAAAGCAGTACCAAATGAGCACTCATAATTTACAAAATGAGTATCAAAAAGTTCAAAAGCTCATTTGTGCATGCTCATTGATTTTGGGCGTTATATTTGATATGTGCATCATTTTAAAATGAGCATAAAGCGGTATCAAATGAGCATACATAATTTACAAAATGAGTATCAAAAAAATCAAAAGCTCATTTGTGTATGCCCATTGATTTCAGGCGTTATATTTGATATGTGCATCATTTTAAAATGAACATAAAGTAATACCAAATGAGCATACATAATTTACAAAATGAGTATCAAAAAATTCAAAAGCTCATTTTGTGTATGCTCATTGATTTTGGGCGTTATACGCATTTAAGTTTAACATAAAACTCATTTTTAATGTGTTTGATATTCAGTTGTGTATGTTCATTTCTTTGAGACGTATACTCATCTGAGTTTAATATAAACTCGTTATTTATGTGCTTAATATTCAGTTGTGTATGTCCATTTCTTTTATGTGTATACACATTTGAGTTTAATAAAAACTCATTTGAGACCAATAGCTGTAGGGATTCCTTTGTTTGCAGTAGGCTCGCTTTTTGTCTTCTAAAATCACAATCTCAAACACCAAAATTGAATAAGAAAAAGAGAGAAAAAGAAAAGAGTGAAAAGAAAGACATATGGGAGGGAGGAGAAACGAATCTGTTGTGTCTATTCTAGAGGAGAAGGGGACGAGCGAGCTGCAACGATGAGCAACCAGACAAAGCGAAGGGCCATCTTCGTTTTGGTTTCTCCGGCGACGAAGGAACTAGACGAAGGCAGATCGAAGAACCAGACGAGATCGGAAAAGCTGGTGCGAATCTTGGTGCGAAGCCGAAGAACGGAGGGAGTATCATTTATGAAGATTAAGTTTTTTGTTTTGTCTAGGGCCTCCAAAGTTCTAAAGCCGGCAAACCGGCCCTGGCTCAGATCAATTCTCAAGCCTCTCTGCTTCCTTCATAAGCAGCGCATTCCGCACGGAGATATCAGCACTGGCCACGTTTATCTCATAACCCCCCTCCCCCGCCATCCTTGCGCCTTTCCACTCTCTCCTCAAGTTAGGTTTTGCTGCTAGCCTCTACCACGACGGCGAAGAACCCCCCCCCCATCTTTCAGTGGGCTGTTGCACCAGAAGTTGATGATGATAAGCCGCAGCAGTCGTCTCCCGCAGTGGCGTAGTCACTGTGGCGGTAGGGTAGTCAATGTGACCGACGGGGCAGTCACTGTGGCGGTTGGGCAGTCACTTGGCTGAAGTCACTTTGGCGGAGTCACTTTGGATTGCAGGGACCAATTTGTTGTAGGTCACATTTTTGGATTTTTTAAAAATGTTTCACTTTTTTGTCTTTTATCCTATTTTTAGTAATATCCATACCAAAAGGCCTAACTTTTTTCTCATGCCCCCAATAATATTTTTGAAAAGTTATATCGGTTAATAAAAACCGATTTGATCGATCTTAAGAACACTCAATTGGACTATATGAAAATGATATAGACTATTGAACAATTTGATGTCGTTGTGTACTAGGTTAAATTAAATAGTGCTAAATACTTAGTTTACCAAATGACATATTTTTCATCCAATAAAATTTATTGAAATAATAAATTAATAAGGTTCTCATTTTCATTCTAAATTTAATTATTCAATTGTGAAATAAAAATAATTTAATCAAGTATACACTATGTATACTTCGTAATATTTAGAGTATACTTGATTAAGAGATTCCCAAAAATGAAAAGTATAATACTTCATCCCAAAAAAATCTTCCCGATTTAACTTGGCACACTTATTAAGAATATTAGAATAAAGTGCAAAATGTATGATTGTTGTTGAGTCAGAAGAAAGCAAATGAATTGATACGCTATTGTCAACCACACAAACCTTTCTGTAAAGGAAAATGTGAATAATTTATTGAGATATCATATCCGAGAATGATAGGTGAGAAGATTTTTTTAGACTAATGGAGCATATAGGTATGCTTAAGCAGATGATTTGTACGAGACAATGATGTAGCCAGCGGCGGAACGGGGGGGGGCGAGCCCGTGCCGCCACTCCCCCTTCGCCGGAGTAGTTAAGGTATGTATAGGTAATGTTATGGCCGGCGCCCCTGAACCCTTCTTCCGTCTTCCGGCGCCCCTGACTTCTCATCTGGTGCTGCTGATAAGAAGTGCTCCGTACGAACTAAGGTTTTAAAAAAATTCATTTAGTTGAACGACATCGTTTGAGGAAATTAAAAAAGGGGGAAAAATGAAAGTAAAACGACTTTCAATTGTTCAATAAACGACATCCCATTAATATTAGTACAATAAATTTACATTTAATACGCTCAGCAACAGAACCCAAAAATCAAAGAGGCTGGGAGGAGGAAGTGAGAAAGACTGAATCGATTGATGATTCGAAATTTTGCCGCCGCGCGCCGGTTCTGTGCTGTACCGCGTTGGATGCCGGCAAATGGAAGACCTGCGTTGCTCGCTTCTGTGCATTTGGTGAAGAGTTGAAGCTCCATGTCGCTTTTGAGATGGTAATGTTACCTTTTCTTCTTTTGTTTAATGTAATTCAATATTTATATTATGTGTAAATTGTAATGTGTTGTTGAAGTGGGTGGTTGTTTACGGGAACCTCCGAACTTGTTTTTTATGGGTCTGTTTGCAACAGCTTCTATTTTTTAAAAAGTGCCTTTTTTAATAAAATGGGGAGAAGTGATTAAATAAAAGTTGATAGTGTTTGAGAAAAAAGTGATTTTAAAAAGTAAAAGTGGGTAGTGTTTGGTAAAATAAGTGCTTTTTGTGTAATAGAAAAAGTAAAAGCACTTTTGACGCGGAAGCCGAGAAAAATAAAAGTTGTAGTGTTTGGGAAAATAAGTGCTTTTTCTAAGCCAAAAACTGATAAGTGCTTTTTAAAAGGAATTGCAAACCAACCCTATTTCTGTTAGTTCATACGGAGTATTTGTTAAGCAAATTTGTGAATTTAGTTTTTTTATGGTAAAAGGAAAATTGTGAATTTGGTTATTAATTATTAAATATATATAACTCAAGGCTATTTATTACGGAGTATATGATTATTTTGTTTAATTTGTGAGGTTAATTATGTTAAAATTTCTAATACCAAATGGAGATTCTTCAAAACATCTACCTAAAAAATAAAGGGAGAATTTGACTTTGCACCCTATGTTTTGGGTGATATTGGACTTTGCACCTTGATTTCAAAATCATTAATATTTGCACCCTATTTCACTATATAATCATTTGACTTTGCACCTCACTCCTTCACAAATTTTGAGCTAATGGGGTGCAAATATCAATGATTTTGAATATGGGGTGCAAAGTCTAATATCGCCTAGAACATGGGTGCAAAGTCAAATTCTCCCAAAATAAAAGGTCAAAACTATCTTGTATTGAATTCAATTCTAATCGATGATGTGATTGCTTTTTAAGGTTTACATAAATCTATTAGTGAATAATAGATTAGAAAGAATTGACCAAAAAAAATCTACTTGTGATTTTGTTTTTTTGAGTGGAGATTATGTGGTTCTTGAGTAGCTTGTTTGGAGTATATTTCTTAACACCTCCTCAAAAAAAGTTCTGGTTCCGCCACTGGATGTAGCTAAAGTTTCAATATTGTAACTTTATTGAGAGTGCCATGCTCATAATCAATCATATTTATTGCTCTAAAAATTGACCTAGTTGGTCAGAAAACGGGCCTATTTGCCCAAAAAATTGGCCTAATTGACCAGAATTTTTGCCTAACTGGCCCCCTAGGTGCTAGGTGTCCTTCAACCGTCCAACTAGAACCTAGCAAATTTTAGAACAATGATCATATCGTAGAATTTTTTACACAAAATGTACACAAATGATTTTGCTCTGCTTATGCGGCCTGTCCTATATTTGAGATATTATCTTACAAGTTACAACCATGTATATAATAGAGTGTCTTATGTTCATTGATATGCCCCCAATAAAATTTATTTCTGGATCCGCCACTGGTCCACGGTCTCCACCTCCCCAACCGAAATGCTTTGGAAGCCATGGTTAAGGCCGGACATACTTCACAACAACAAACTCCCGGCGGTACCTGCTACAACAATTCATGAAACTTCAAAACACCCGGGAGTATAGGTACACCCAGTATTTTTATTTTTGTAATATATACCAACTTCAAGCCTTTCTCATCTTTCTCCTGTTGAATCATCTCTCTTCCGCTGTCCATCTCTTTTCTCTTCCGCTGTCATCTTTTTTCTTTCTTTTCTTCCGCAACCATCTCTTTTCTTTCTTTTCTTCGGCCGCAATCCTCATTCGGTAGTCGTTCCCGATAGTTACGTTTTTTGTTTTGATAGTTACATTTTTAGTTTTGTCTTTTTTATTTTCATGTTTTTCTTTACTTTTACCGTTAGCTACTTGGTCTTTGTTTTGTTCAATTTTGTCTTTTTTCATTACTTCTTTTCCTTTCTTTATGTGTTGTTTACTTCTTTCTTTTTCTTTATATATTAATACTGAGCATATTAGAAATGAGCTTTACTTTAAATTAAAATGAGTAAAACGCCTAAAAATGAATATACCCAAATGAGCTTTTGAACTTTTGGATACTCATTTTGTAAATTATATATGTATGTTCATTTAGTAACTATGTTATGCTCATTTTTAAATTGTTTTTAGCAATGCATATTTCAAGTCTCTATTACATTAAATTTATATAGGAGTTGATTATAGACACAAAATCACAAATCATGATACTCAATCGCAAATTGTAATACCCAATAACGGAGGTTTGATGCTCACTGAAAATGTATTGATGCTCAACGAACAAAATCACAAATCATGATACTCAATCGCAAATTGTAATACCCAATAACGGAGGTTTGATGCTCACTGAAATGTATTGATGCTCAACGAACAAAACTTACAATTTTCATATCAATGCTCATCTTGTAAGTTACATATGCTCATTTGTATAGGTACGATGCTCATTAAATATATTTGAATGAGCATATTAGAAAATTTAAACGAGCTTTTGAATTTTTCAATGCTCATTTCATAATATATGCATACTCATTCAAGAATAGTGTTATGCCCATTTTAAAATGTCATATCAATACTTATGAAACTAATGCTCAACAGAATAGGTATCATGCTCATTAAAGTACATTAATGCTCATTTAACGGAAACCATTATTTTCATCTAAATAGAGGAGGTTTGATGCTCAATGAAAATATCGTGATGTTCAACTAACAAACCAACTAACAAATTCATTAATGTTCATTTTGTAAGTTACATATGCTCATCTGGTACTGATTTTATGCTCATATATATTGAACTCCTAATACTCAACCGAATAAGTCTGATGCTCATTACAAATTCATCAATGCTCATTCACAAGAAATTGTAATTTTCATCTCAGTAGCGGATGTTTGATATTCAATAAAATGTCGTGATGTTCAACAACAACAAAAAACCTTACGATTTTCATATTATTGTGCACTTTGTAAGTTATGTATACTCATTTGGTACAGATGGTATGCTCATTTTTACAATGTCATATCAATGTATATTTCAAAAGTATCGTATTACATTAGACTCACATATTAAAATTAATAAGAGTGGATTATATATATAATTTAATAAGTTTTTATTAAAGAAAAAATAAGAAAAAGAAAAAGAATTAGGAGATATGAAGCAGAGATCGCGATACTCATTATTAGCCCCCTAATACTCAATAAAATAGGTCAGATGCTCACTAAAAATACACTATTGCTCATTTAGCGACAGCCATGATTTTTTCCTTAAATTACAAAAATGTCACCGAAAAAAATTAGACAGTATCAATTAAATGGGCTGTCTTTCATAATTAATTGGGCCCTTTTTTGTGGGCCTTGGTCAGATCGATTAAATTTATTGAAATTGGGCTGTAGCTTCAATTTAAAAAAATACAAATACACCTGCATGTACGGTATACGAACTGGGGTCCCTCCCCTAGACTGACAATGTGTACTGTGTAGTTGAGTACTTTCTCTCCGAAATTTGCTGTTCTCAACTGGCTCCGTACAAGGCAGTCATGGTGTGGCTGCTCTCGTCGTCCTCATCCTTCACTCGGGAGCCACTGAATACCTCTCCTCATGCCTTTCTCAAGTCTTCCTGTTTCTATCTCATAACCCCTTTGCGTATGAAGACCGGAATTCCTCCCAGGCTACCATCATTAACGACTCGAGCCTCTTTTGATGATACAAGGGACCCAATTTCGAATCCCCCATTTCTTCTTCAAGGTGAACTACAGACGAAGCAGGTCAGCCAGGTGCGGTTTCTGTAGCAAGTAAATACTCTCTCCCTTGACAACTTAGGTTTCCCTCAGCTTTTGATGCGCTTATTTGATACTGTACTTCTTTTCTTATTGTTTAAGTAGAATTATGCTGTTCAGATTTATGTAGAAATGAAAGGATATGTCTGAATCACACTATTCTAAACTAAGGGCATCTCCAATGGTATAATATGTACGGTGTACACGTGGAATCTCCAATGGTATAATGTGTACGGTGCACACGTGGCACGAGAGATAGTCACATAAATATTACGTAGTAGTAAATAATTTCTTTCTCTCCTTATTTTAATGATTTTATACAAATTTAGTAAGTTTTTCTCCACAATGTTAAGGGGACCGTCTAAATATTGACATTGCAATTGACATTGCAGGAAAAAACTTACCAAAATTGTATAAAATCATTCAAATAAGGAGAGAGATAATTTATTTGCTAATATTTATGTGGTTATCACTCATGCCACATGTGTACCGTGCACATTATAGCATTGGAGATGCTCTAAATAAAAAAGTACTCCGTATTTTTTAGAGAAATTAAAAAGGAAAGTAAAAAACTAATTCGGGGCAGAATGTGTAGTGTTAAGTTTCCTTTAGGGCTGGGACCGGTTCGGTTCTTACTCAAAATGAGTGGAACCGTTATAAAATTTTTAACTAATGAAATCGGTTCGGTTCCTATATAAAAAATCAGGAACCGTTATGGAACCGAACCGGTAGTAAACGGTTCGGTTCTTCCTTTTACCGGTTCTTAGAATAATTTTTTCTCGTCTAAGAATTAACACATAATTTTAAACACGTCGAAAATTCAAAACACGAGTATTAAAATTTTATTTGAAGCTCTAATTACTTCAAACATTAAAGCTCAAACTTAACTAATGAACTTTGAACACTTAATAGAACAAAAGTGATTTAAATTTTCATGTAATAAATGAAACATTAAAAATCGTCGTAGTGTCAGAGCGATGAAGGTTACTCGTCATCATAGTAGCAAGAATAGGATGTCTACTTCAAGTCTTTCAAAACATTAAAAAAAAGACATTGAGTTTGCATGTATAGATATAAAAAATATTATCACATTCTATTGATTCATAATAAATCTAATAATTAAAAATATTATAAAAATAGTAAAGTAAAATATGTGCAATCAACTACAAGTTATTTGGGTTATTTTATATTTATAAAATTTATGTGATGGAACAAAACTTGATTTGTAGAAAGGAGTTTAATGTATATATCAACCTCATGTACAATACTTATTACTTCTTTTCCGTTGATTAAATTAGAATTGTTAGTTAAATATCTTATTTTTTTTTATTATTGTTGTTGTTGTGGTGGTTATTATTGCTATTATATTATTATTGTTATTGTTACTACTACTACTACTACTAATATTATTTTATTTTTTATTTTTTTAATAACGGTTCCTTAACGGTTCCATTCACATATTTTTTATAGGAACCGGGAACCGAACCGTTATAACCCGCTTCGGTTCGGTTCCTACAAATGAGGCATTAATTGTTAACGGTTCGGTTCCTAGATGTTGTTAACGGTTCGGTTCCAATCGGTTCTACGGTTCCCGGTTCCAAAATCCCACCCCTAGTTTCCTTATTCCTTTTCCCACCCCCTCCAACAGTGTTAGGATGTTTTCTTTTGGACTGTTTTCAATCCAAACCAGACTAGATCAAACCAGACCAGACTTCCGTAGTTATAAAATACAAAGGCACCAGACGTTTACCAGACCAGACCATTTCAGACCAGATCAGACCAGACCAGCAAATTTCAGTCCAAAAGAAAACATCCTTAACCGGGAAATTAAGTCTATTAATAATTTTAAGAGTGCTAAGTGTGGTTGAATGTTTTTTTTAAATTGAGACTCCTAAATGTTTTCCACCTATTTAGTCACTTTGTCTTGCCCTTTGCGGAAAATGTGTAATTTTACATTTCCGTTGTTTGAAAAGTTGGATCATTGTATGGATGATTTTGAATATTTAATTGATTAGCTTCACCTATTCTTGTTTGGGTAACCTTAACTTTCTTGCGGGTTAGGGAAATGATGATGTTGATGACCATTTTGAGGAAGTTGATGAGAGTGTGAGGGTTCTTAAAACTGCAGCCAAAACAAGAAAGGTTTCAGCCGAAGAGATTCTGGCAGCATTTTCTGTGATTGAGAAAGCCAAGGTTGAACCTTCAAGGTTTCTTGAAACTCTTGGTGGAACTGAATCGCCTGGAAGAACCTGGATGCTCGTTTTTACCGCAGAGGTTATAGAAATATATACCCCCCCATGCTGTTCTGCATTTAATCTTACATTTTCACAGAACTTTATAGTCTTTTATCATTTCTAATGGTGGTGATATGTATTCCAGAAAAGATTGAGACGAGGACGATATTTCCCGATTACTGCTGTTCAAAGATTCGATGCAGCTGTAAGCTCTCTAACTCATTAAGATATAGGCATTTTGATGGATTGCGAAATTTATTATAGCTTTACACATTTGCATTTAGAGAACAAGATAATGGGCAGGTGTAACTCAAGCGCATTGTGATTACATATATCATATTTTTACGTCTTTTCATTTGGCCCTTTCTGTTTGCAAAATTTGATAAAACTTTTTCCATTGTTCGTGATGCGGTTGAAATGTGGACAACTTAAAAGATCATGTACAAACTACAAATTTAAAGAGATAAGAAAGTGCCATGTAGAAGAAATAAGAATCATGAGCAACTCAGTAGCAACTTGTATTTATTACTCTTAATGTCCAAAAACCCGATCATATCCTTAGCTTATTGTGTTCCTTTAATTGCCATCCAAGCTATAAATAAATCTGATAAAATGGATCTAGACTAATTGGGGCACCAGACCTGATTAGACTATGTGAAAATGGTCATAAGCTGCTCTAGTTCCATGTGGTGTGCCTCTGAACCATTTAGAAACCACCTGAGTAGCCCCAATTAATGTTTGCCCTGGTTTTACAATCCTTTTAACTTTCGGACAGAAAAGGAATAAGAAGGGATAAAAAAAAGTTACTGAATTAGTTATAAAGAAGGGAAACAGAAATTCACATTTTTGGATTTGCCCTTCAATTATTTAAAGAAAAATCAAAATACATTATGGCCTTCTGAAGTCTTGAAGATGTGCCCCAGCACACTACCGAACCTGCCGCCTAATCCCATATTTCCATTAGTGTTAAATTGCTGAATGCAAGTTGAGATTCCATATAAAGGTTTCTAGGTGAAATTTACTCGCATTCCTTGTTATGTGATATGAGATTCCATGGGATTCGATACTTGAGAATCAAAACTTCATGAACAAAAGCCTCTTTAAAGTGGTAAGCATATTTCAAGAACTAACATAACTTTTTAAAATTGTTAGGCTAAGAGGATTGAGAATGGAGTTTATCTAGGGCCACTTGGAAACGTTACATTTGAAGGAAGATTTTCGTGGAACAACAGAATCCTTGCTTTCATATTTGAGCGGATACGGGTAAAGGTCGGACCATTTAACCCGTTTGAGATCAGTTTTAAAGGAAATGACGAGAGAGAACCAACCAATACCGGTAAATATCCGTTTTTTGTTTGGTTTTACATTGATGAAGAAATAGTTGTTGCTCGAGGAAAAAGTGGAGGAACAGCTTTGTGGGTCCGCTGCAAACGTGTTAGCATGTAGTGAAAGCTTTGTTATTGTACTTGGATAAATTCAGGACGTGTAAATTAATAGATAATTGCAACTCTAATCTCTGTGACATTGGGAGTGGATTAAAAATGCCAAAGTTTGCATTACTTTATCCTTCCCTTTAACTCATGTACTCACGGTCTGTTTCGGTAAAATGATACACTTGCAGAGTTGCAGGGATTGTCTATAGACAGACAAGACAGTTAGAAAATGGCACATTTGATCACTACGTGACATTTCTCTAAAAAAAACAAGTCACATGTGCCTTTTGCTGTTCATTTGTACAATTTATTATTTATGAAAATATTAAAGATATAATTATCCCCCATATGACTAAAACACTTTCACTTTCCCAATCTAAGACCAAACTAGTTTTTTTCTCAAAATATTACCTTAATTTGTATTATTTAATTAAAATTCGTAATTAATAAATAATTAAATTATTTCTATGGACAAATATACCCTTTATGTTATATCTATAAAACCCTAAGCTCCTACCCTTTTTCTCCAACCCTAGCAACTAGACGCAAAAGATCTCTGGCTTCCTGCGCTCCCCGCACGCCTCGTTGCCGCCGGCTCACTGTCCGCCGCCGTCCAATAGCATGGCCGCCGCCGCCACCAGTCCATCTACTCGCAGGTTTCACGGCCACCGTCCACCGACCACCAGTCCATCTCTAGTTCCACCCTTGTTCGCCGCCGTCGCCGCCAACCGATCACGCCAGTACACCACCGCCATCACTACACCTGCGCGCCGCTGTCGTCCCGATCCATGGGCGCCGCCTCCATCCCAATTCATGGTCGTCAACATCGTTCCAAGCCCTGAGCGTCGCCGTCCTCGTCGCCGTCCAACCGCACGATTGCACTCGATCCAAATCACTGCCGCTCAGCTGCGCCCCTCTGCCGCTCCTACAACTCAGATTCTTCAGTCAAGGCGGCCAAGGTTGATGGCGAACCGAGGTTGAAGACGAACCTAGGTTGAAGACGATGAAATAAGTGTGCAATGAATAATTTATATTTAATGCCATGAACATCACAAGAAGCGCAATGAGTTATGACAAAACGTGCAATGATATGGCAAGAAGCGCAATAATGTAAAAAGTGTAATGACATGAAAAGAAGTGCATTAAAAATGACATGAAAAAATATCTATAAATTCATAGCATCATTTGTAATATTTAACCAAATGTAAGAACTAAAGTTATGAAATCTAAAAAACGCTAAATTCATTTTATGTAATGTTATGTCGTGCAGTGAATACCGCCATAAAGTGCAATAAATGTAGTGCAATAACGCCTTCATGAAGTGCAATATTTTTACCCGGACGAAATTAGTGTAAAATGCATATTTTTTAAAAAAAAGGGTATTTTTGGCCTTCCACAATTTAATATAACGAAAAATCCTTTTTTTTTTCGATTTTTGGTCATATTTCGAGAAAAAAAACATAACTAGTCACATTTCAAGAAACTCACTTTGTTTTAGTCATATCCCGAGAATTTTTCCAATATTAAATCTTACCCACTGAGATGTTAAGGGGGTAATGGTAAGAAAAGGAAGCCATTAGCGGCTTAGCGCTTGTGCCTTGTGGAGAGGTAAAAACGTTTTGACGTGGAAAGAATGTGAAACTTCATTGACATCATTCAGTGCCGCTAAATTATCAAAACTCTGTTTTAGAAGAAGTGTTTGGTTCTTGCTTTAAAATGAAGCGTTCTTTTGGGAATTCTAGGAAAAAGCATTTCTATTACCAAATGTTATACAGTACTACGTACGTAGTACTATCTTTGTCTCAAGTAATTAGAGTATCATTAGGGGATCTAACGAGTAGAAAAATATTGAGTAGTCATATATTTTCTTCTGCCTATGACTATATTATTTCTCTTTGTCCTATTTAACTAGAGTAATTTTTTCAATACTTTATTAGCAATACTCAAAGCCAAAGTAATGCATTCGTTAAGCCAGCTCAAATATCCGTGAAATCATCTGATTTGAAATCCACACATTGTTTTGTACTTTTTTCTAAGTTAGATTTTTTTTGCTTATACTCCGTATGTTTTATGTTTTAAGAGTGTGAGGTTGAAAATATTGGTATCTATGAATATATTGTTACTAAAAAATGGAATAGTGGCATTGATATTATTAATAGAGATTAGGTGGAAAAAACGATGACTATTTTAGTTGGACCAAAATGGCAGTAATTACTCCTATTTTGGGAATAAAAAACATGACAATCCTATTTTGGAATTTTCAAACTCTTTTAGTCTTATTTATGGAACTTTTCCTAACACATACTTTCATCCATTTTCGTCTATAGTCTTCAGTTCTTCATTTTCGTCTATAGGCAGGAGATGATCTATGCATATGTTGTGGTGGACTGATGTCCAGTGTAACTTAATTTTTTTTCAACTTTTTAGTATAATTTTTTTCATTTTTCATATTCAGCGTACCCTGTTAATGTTTAAGCCTAGTATAATTGCTTATCAACCCAGGGCATCTCAGATTACTAATGGCCAGGCATATTGTTCATCATTCGGCTTACCAAATTTCTTTTTGCATATTTTGCTTATCAAACAAAATCTGTCAGTATGGTTCATCATTCCACAAATAAAGCAAAAATGCGGCAGCCGCTCAAACTTCAATTCCACCTCCACTGATTCCTCTCCTCGCTTCAGTATCAATCGGCTTCTCAATGGTTTTTCAACCGGCAAAAGAACCCTGATGCGCATAAACTCTTTTCTTCCGCCCGAAAAATTGTTAGGGTCACACTCTACAAACGACCCCAGCCGATTTCCTATAAGCTCACCAGTCTTCTCTGAGAAATACCGCATAGGGAGTTTGTAGACCTGTACCCAGAAAGTTTCATGATCAAGTGTGATAGTAAAGGGATTATCATCTTCACCCAATCTTTTTAACACTAGCAGACTGTTCTCGTACGACCATGGTCCATCAGTCAAGACACGAAGGACATCAGTCTCCTGAAAGAACTGGAAGAGAATTCTCCTGTCACCAACCTCCCGAATATGGACCCCCCAGCCAGGCCTCCAAGCATCTGGAGGAACTTCTCTGAAAGCACTAATTTTGACAGATTTTTCCGTCAAAATACGACCCACAAGACAAAACTTTGAAAGAGATGAATCCTCCCGAATAGCCGAGTCATCCAGTTGCACCTCAATCTGATCATCATCCTCTAAATTGAGCCGGGAATAAAGGTCTTCCATGCCAGACGCCATGCTTTCAAGGACGATTGGAAAATCAAGCGAACAGGAGCGCACGATCAATCAATTCAAGCCAAGGAACAAACGACACAGCCCTAGAACCCTAGGGAAGGAAACCGTAACTTCTAAAAAAACAAAAAACATCAAACAATTTTATGCTTTGAATGATAGTTAATTCTTTACTGTTCAAAAAAGAACCATAACGAACGGGCCCTCATTTAAAGGATTTTATTTCTATTTTTAGAATAATTAGCACTCTTAAATAATAATTTAATCATCAAATTTTAATAACCATTCATCTATAACATCACAATTATCATCAATAACATCATTATATTATACACCATCAAACCTATTTTTCAAAGTGTACTCCAATCAGGGGCGTAGCCAGGACACTGGGCTAGACTGGGCCGGTACAAAGAATATTATTGGAAAAAAAATTACACGAAATTTTTTACACTAAAAATATTGACAATTTTCAATTTTGGGGTGGGCCAGGGCCTAGCCTGGGCACCCCCTAGCTCCGCCCCTGACTCCAATAACCTTATGTACTCGAAAAACTGTACTACTACGTACTATATAACATCAACATTAGTATAGGATTTCCATTTTTCAGAATCCAAATTCAGAGTCGTATAGGTCTAGTTAGGCATGAACCGGTTAGGGCCAGGCTCCGCGCCGGTCCAAACCGGGCTTTTTGTGTGTGGCTACGGGCCTGGAACCGGCCCCGGATTCCACCGGCTCCAAGCCGGGCCGGTTCATTTTTTTGTTTTTGCTTTTCTAATTAACCCCCAACCCCCCACCCCCAAACCCCCCCCCCAAAACACCCAGCCCAACCGCCTACCTACCACAAAAAAATGAAAAAAAAAAGGCCCGGGCCGGTTCCAAAGAAAGGTCAGACCGGAATCGCCCCGCCCTAACACCTCGGGCCTGTTCTAGGCCCGGAACCGGTCCCGGTTCACCGCGCCAGTCCGGTTACAAACAGTACCGGGCCGGATCACGGGCCGGTCTATCCGGAACCGATCCATCCCTAGGTCTAGTGGCCTGAACTAGCCAGAGAGTCTACAATGTACAGCCTTGATGTTATTTGGCCCTTCGGTGTTCGTTCAGGCATTTAGGCTTTTAGCCTTCTTAATCTCTACAAGTCATTTTATAAATAAGAATTAAAATTAAAGGTCAAGAGACTTTACGACTGCAATCTAAAAATAAATGGAAGATTCGTTTTACACAGTCATTTGTATATGTCTTCATTCATATACCCCTATTTTGTATTTGTGCACACCCAATTCGTCTAAAAAGGCAATCATATCATTGAATGTTATTTGTGTACAAACAACTTGGGCAATGTATATAGGTTGAAATCAGACCAGACCAGACCAGAAAATTTCAGTCCAAGTAAAAACATCATATATACTGTCGTACTCATTATCTTACAATTTAAAAGACATATGGAGTATTTGGTTGCACGCTTGCACAAGAAGAATTGGAATAGATTTTGCCTCTTCAGAAAAGTTACGACTTACTGTCACGATTCAAATATCTTTCAAGGAACTAGGAGGCGTAGATGTGTTATATTTGGCATTCATTGACGCTTCATAGGGTAATTCGCATTATTATATAATATTATTTTTTGGGTATACCATGTGACCTCAATTTTCAATTTGAAATGGGAAAAGTTCCCGAAATAGGAGTAAACTGGTTTGGAAATTTAAAACTATGACTGATATATTTTCTTTCCAAAATGTGAGTAACATAATAGTACTTAGCTTACTGACATCTTGTAGTCATACTACCAAATAATTACAGTACTATGTATTACACATATCAGTATTTACTATCATTAGTGGTTGTACTTTTCAGTCATGACAGTATTTTTCAATCATGGAAGCAACGACTACTATTTCGAGAAGAAAAACTTTTTGAAATTATAAAACTTATTTACTCCCATTTAGAGCAATTTCCCTTTAAAATAGGACCGTGCATTATTATATAATATAATTTTTGTGAAAATGCTACGTGATCTCAATTTTCCATTTTTAAAATAACCATTAGAATTCACAAGACTTGCGAATGATCAAAATAGTTTTTGAAATCGTCATTCAAATACTTTTATGTTAGGAAAGGAAATGGTTGAGCATGCCAAATGAGCATAAAAATGGCATGTCTTGATCGAGCCACATATTAAAAGCTTATACGGAGTAAAAATAATTAACGGCATTAATGATTGTCCTGAGTTATATACTACTCCGTACATACGAAGTATAGTACGTGGACGAAATTGAAAGCATTTACACAATGGATGGACTAAAATGAAAAACTGATCTATATACTAAAACGTACACCTTGGGTGTTTTAGGTTGACTTTGTTTCTAGGTAGAATGTCACAATACGTAATGAATTACTCCGTGTTATTGTTATACGTGCGTTCGCATGAATGTTACATTCCTGAATGTAAATTCAGATTCTATATGATAGTTTTTAGGTCAAATTTACTCAAAGTATCCCTCTAAAATTGTAATGCGTTAGAGCATCTCCAATGCTAAAACGTTAACGGTGCATACGTGTCATGAGAAATAATCAATTAAAAAACAATAAATACAATATCTCTCTCCTTATTTGAAGGATCTTACATCATTTTGGTAAGTTTTTCTTCACAATGTCAAGCACAATGTCTAGATGTAGACATTGTGATAAACATTGCAGACAAAAACTTACCATAAACACATAAGACAGTGGAAAGAAGGAGAGAGAGATTGTATTTATTGTTTTTTAATTGGTTATTTCTCATGCCACGTATGCACCGTTAACATTTTACCATTAGAGCATCTTCAATGGTAAAATGTACACGGTGCACACGTGGCATGGGAGATAGCCACATAAATATTAGTAAATAAATTCTTTCTCTCCTTATTTGAATGATTTTATACAGTTTTTGTAAGTTTTTCTCTACAATGTCAAGGAGACCGTCTAGATGTTGACATTGTTGTTGACATTGCAGGGGAAAACTTACCAAGATTGTATAAAATCATTCGAATAAGGAGAGAGATAATTTATTTGCTAATATTTATGTGGCTATCACACATGCCACATGTGCACCATGCACATTATAGCATTGGAGATGCTCTTAGAGATGCTCTTGTGAGATTTTACGAGATGAGATACTAAGGAATCAGGACTACCCTACGTGAGATAAAATTGCATGAAAGGGACGCATATGTATTCTAAGAAACTGATATAACTAAATCAAATTCTTACCTAGAGCTTTTGGAAACTTAACATTTGAGGGAAGATTTTTGTAGATCAATAGAATCCTTATTTTCATATTTGAGCGGATAAGGACAATGGTTTGGACCAATCAACCTATTCAAGATCAGCTTTAAATTAAAGGAAATGGTGAGAGCAAGCATACCAAATATAGACAAAGATTTCTTTCTTTCTTTGGTTTTACATTGATAAATTAGAAGATGACTTTCTGCGCTCCATTGTAACCAAATTGGCTTGAATTTTTTAATCTGTGGTTAGACAACATCAAGGCATGTAAGTAAATAAATACTTTCTCGGTCACATAAAAAATTTTCCCAGTTTGAATTGGATTGAGTTTAAGAAAGTGAGAATGAAATGAAAATGTATATTATGGTTGAATAAGTGAATGTTAGCCACTGCACACAAAATTTTTCCAAAGAGAAAAAGGAAAGATTTTTTTTAGGACATCTAAAAAATATTTGTAATCTCTTCCAAATCAATATATATATAAAAGAGGAACTTTTTAAGAGCATACAACGCGCCACATAATCTTACCATATATATATAACAATTATTTATTATTTTTAAACCTTTTATTGTTTCAAACATTCTTTTTTTATTACAGGTTGATATAGAAATCCAGCTTATTTGCTAACTTTAAGAACTTGAGAATCTAGGTAGGGATGCATGCTTGATTTTAAACTCTAATTTTAGCATTTAGAAACACAAAACCTACGTAGAGATTTAGGATGTTTTCTTTTGGACTGTTTTCAGTCCCAAACCAGACCAGACCAGACTTAAACAGACCAGACCAGACTTAAACAGACCAGACCAGGCTTCCGTAGTTATAAAATACACAGAGACCAGACGTTTACCAGACCAGACCAGTTCAGACCAGACCAGACCAAACCAGACTTAAACAGACCAGACCAGACCAGACCAGACTTAAACAGACCAGACAAGACCAGCAAATTTCAGTCCAAAAGAAAACATCCTAAGGCTAGCTATACTTTACCAGGGTGGAGCTAGGGGTACACACAATTTGTACACAAAATTTGTACACTTGTCTGTCCCCCACAGACAAGTTGTCTGTCGCGAGATGAGTTGTCTGTGGGGGACAGACAAGTGTACAAATTTTGTGTACAAATTGTGTGTACCCCAATCTTTTTTCTACTTTACCATATTTAAACTATTTAAACTTTACGTATTAATGACTGCAGCAATTTAGCAAAGGAATCCAATTTTTAAATAGAACTTTTAAAACAATAACAATTACTTTATCCAAGGAAAATATTTGTTACGTCGCATTGATAGAATTTGAAATAGATTTGTTATTTTTAATTTAAATTTGAAAGGGGTAATAAACATTTGTTTGAACTCAAATTTTTGAATTTGTACGAACTCATGTATATTAATTAATAAAGAGTATCAAACGGGCTTACTATTATAATTAAAACATAATTATGCATACCATAGAGCCCTAACTTAATCAATTTCAGCAGAATCGATCAGCTGATTCGATCAATTTTAGTTTTATTATCAAACAGGCTCTCCATTAAACTGAAGGGTTGTTAACTTTTTCCTATTAAGTCCGGTCTGAATAAAGACGCGTGTCTGGGGTAAGATATGTCTGGATGACTGGATTAAATGATATTTGTATATGAGCCTGTTTGTTGAAATAATTCCAAATATATAATCAAAATATAATTAGTGGACAAAATGTGACATTGGTAACTTAAGTGACTATAATTGTATTCAAGTGTTACATCATAGTGACCATAAAATCTACACATAGTAACTTATAGTCACTTTTTTGTCCATAAGTTTTAGGAATCTCAATCGTGTAAAAATCAATTTAGTATTGTTCTTAGATTATATATGGTGTCAATGAAGAGCTTCATTTATTAATATAAATCTACAACCAATTTAAAAAAATGACAGAAAAACGTCTTAATAGACGTCTTAATGGGAAGGACTGTTATTCTACAGCTTAATGATTAAGTAAATTTTTGATTGAATGATTAATGATGTTTCCAATTAAGTCGTAAGTAAACATTACTTAATGGTTGAATGATTAAGTCATCATTGCCATTAAGTCTATTAAGCCGAAAGTAAAACCCATGAATTTATTTTGCTTTTGCACCACATTATTTACTCATATATATGATTCCAAAAAAAATCACATTTAAAATTAGCTAAATTAAGTACTGTCGTGCATCGCAAGTGCTTGAAAACTAGTTAGAAAATATTAGAAGTGCAAAAGTTCACATTGGGTTTAGCCACGCTTATGCAAAAAGAAAAAAAAAAAAACTGCGCATGTATTTGCATTTCCAAAACTTATACTGCCTTTTGTAGCTGTTTTCATTTTCCAAAAGCATTACAAAAAACTGAAAAAGATCATGCACACTAAATGATCTCTAGTTTTACGAGCAACGTACCTTTTTAAGTGTTATGTAAAAAGGCATGCCATTGATTAGTTAACTATTCGAGTAAAAAGGGTTTATACAATAGGTGACAATTCCGGTACACTTCTAAAAAATAGGGTACCGTACCTACCATTCATTTGATTGGACCATATCACTTTATCATTTTTAATTTAGATTTGGGATAAGGGTCAGATAGGGCCTCGAACTTGAAAAAAAATGTCAAATAAGGCCATATTTAGGATGCTCTGTCTGGCCGACGTCATTTGGGGTGGTTCCTGGTGGAATTTTTTGATGAAATTTTTTGAGAATCTTATTCATTAAGTCTAGTTTACTCATATCAAATTTGAACTAACAATTCAATCGGGAAGTCATTCAAATGAATTCATGAAGATAACTGCGCTTTTAACGGTACAGTTATCTTCAAGAATTCATTTGAATGCCTTCCCGATTAAAGTTTTAGTTCAAATTTGATATAAGTAAACTAGACTTAATGAATAAGATTCTCAAAAAAATTCATCAAAAAATTCTACCGGGAACCACCCCAAATGGCGTCGGCCGGACAGAGCATCCTAAATATGGCCTTATTTGACATTTTTTTTCAAGTTCGAGACCCTATCTGACCCTGTGGACAAAGGTATGGTACCTTATGGGTACCATAAAATCTACCTATACTAATAACCAAGGATGAAGATAGAGAGTTGTTTAATGCTAAATGACCTTAAAAATGTGTTTTTTATACCATATTTGATTAAGTAAGGATTATTAGCTAAATTTATCATCAACTATCATCAAATTCATAAATTTATCTCATACTTTCACTTTTCTTAAAAATAGGCTCAAACTTTAACTTTTCTCACAATTACATCACTTTCCATGGATGAATTAGTAAACCTTAAGAAGAAAATCATATTTATATTTCATATATCTTCTTACTTCTTTCTAGTTTTAAGTTTAGTATTGCAAAAAATGCATAATTATTGAAAAAGTTGAACTTTGAGATAAAATAAGCTAACAACCCACTAAATAACAACTGAACATACTTTTTTTCAAGCATCAACTTTTTCAACTTGAAAAACAAATTCATTTTCAAAAATTACATACTTTCTTAATTAAATAATTTTCCAATAATGTTAAAAATAAATCACTTCTAGGAGACTCAGACAAAAGAAAGAGGCATATTTATATATATATTAGTGTAATGTCAGAAAAGTAAGAGGTGTAAAACCAAAAAGAATGCCAAATGTACAAGCCTAATTGGCTTGCACTTGTCATCAACCTTGTCATACCACATACTCGTAGCTTATTAATTATTAGATGACAACCGTTGCTAACTTTCATCTGATTGGAACAAAAGTTCCATGGCTATAAAAACAGGCCAAAGCAGAAAACTTTGACATCCCATAGGCCACTTGTTATCAACTCTGCAGGGGAAAGGAAAGAAAGAAGTCAAGAACATGGAAGATCAACATGGAAAGCCATCCTCCATCAGTGAACCACTTATTGACAAAAGTGGCTATTCAAAGCAGCAGGGAAGTTTGAATAGGAAAGAGATTGCTGATGAAGTGAAGAAGCAAGCATGGCTAGCTGGGCCACTTATCTGTGTAAGCTTATTGCAGTATTGCCTGCAGCTGATATCTGTGATGTTTGTTGGGCATCTTGGAGAACTGGCTCTTTCTGGTGCTTCCATGGCCACTTCCTTTGCTACTGTTACTGGCTTCAGCTTACTGGTCAGTTTCTTGACTTTCTTCCTCCATTATTGGTGGACCTATGGGTATCTTTTTCTTTTTCTCAAAAATATTTGAACTTGTGATGTACTCAAGTGACAAATATTTGAAGAAGAAAAAAAAAGAAAGAAAAAGTTGGATTCTTTCTTACTTCACAACTTTGCCACTGCCCCATCACCAGAAAAATAAACAGCCCCCTGCGTCGGCCTGCCCCATCCCATGATTCCCATCCACTTTTTATGCAATACGATTATAAACAAAAAGATGGCATGTCATCACATGTTATAGTACAGTGAAGAATCTCATTTCATCAAGGGTCTAATAAAAATAAGAATTTCCTCTAAGAAATCTCCTAAAAAATAAGAGAAGACTCAGAAGACCCAACACTTCTACGCTGAATAATTAGGACAACGAGTATCCCACTTTTCTTTTTGATTCGGGAATGAGTTGGAAAGAGAACTTGAAGTTTTTGAGCATTTGAGACGGCCAAACGTGAAATCGGCTTTTTAGTTTCTAGCTGCTACTGCTAAGCAAACTAATAAAACTTAAAGGAATGATAAATATCTGTTGAAGTTCGAGAAATTACAAGACGTTTTTTGTTTTTTTCGTGTAATGAAATGACACTTGAGAGTTGAGAGGGGTAGCAATGGACATTTGCAACTGCATTTGATTCATATTAAGAATATATGGATTTGATTAAGAGCCCGTTTGGTAGCACCAAAATCGGCTGTTTTGGCTGATTCTGCTGAAATTTATGATATTCTGGCTGGAGTGGCTGTTTTGGCTGATTCTGCTGATTTAAGAAAAAAATACTTTAAAAATATATTTTATTAATAAATTAAAGAAAAAATTATATGTAAAAATAGCTAAAATGGTCCTCTACAGTAACTTCAGCCAATACAGCCAGAAAAGTAACTCCAACCTTACTTTTTCGGCTTATTACACAATTCAGCGCGCGAAAGTAAAAGTTACGTGTTTGGTGAAAAAGCTGGCTGATAAGCCTGATAAGCCGAAAACAGAGTTCTCCAAACGGGCTCTAAGTTGTGTGATCACTTGCTAATCGGCTGGCCTGATGATTGAACAATTTCAGATGGGGATGTCTAGTGCACTGGACACCTTGTGTGGTCAGTCCTATGGAGCAAAGCAGTACCATATGATGGGCATACAAATGCAAAGAGCAATGCTTGTTCTTGAACTGGTATGCATTCCTCTGTCAATGATCTGGCTAAGCACAGGCCCGATCTTGAAAGCATTCGGGCAGGAGGCCGCGATTGCAGATGCAGCTGGTCGCTATGCTCAGTTCATGACTCCGAGCCTTTTTGCATATGGCCTTCTCCAGTGTCTGGTCAGATTCTTGCAGACCCAAAACATTGTGTTCCCTATGGTGCTCACCTCTGGGATAGTCACTGTGCTTCACACTCTGACTTGCTGGGTTCTTGTTTTCAAGTCTGGCCTCGGATTCCGAGGGGCTGCTCTTGCCAACGCTATCTCCAATTGGCTAAACGTGTTGTTGTTAGCTCTTTATGTCATGTTTTCCTCTTCTTGTTCCAAGACTTGGACTGGGTTTTCTAAGGAGGCGCTTAATAAAGACATATTGGTCTTTCTTAAGCTTGCAGTTCCTTCTGCTATCATGGTCTGGTATGTTTTGTTTCCTCCCTCCTTTTGTTGGAGTCTGATTCTGAATAGCTAGACATTATTTATTGAATTGTTGGTGTCTTAACAGTGTGCAACAAGATGGTGGTTCCCAAACTTGAATAGCTAGGGATTGATTGTTTGTTCGTTCGAGTTTAACTCACTGTCATATTGTATGGAATTAGGCCTAACTCACACCTAAAAGCTCATCAAGAAGTACAGATACAACAAACAACAACATCCAAGAAGTACAGATGGATCTCTTAAATATCCGATGTAGTCAACAATTAAAATTAACACTTGAAATAGTAATATGTCAACATGATAAAAGGAATGCCCGAAATCTTATATTTTTCAGGTATTGAATGACTTAACAATAATACAATATTTAACTTTTTTGTTATGTTAATTATTGATATAGCCTGGAGATGTGGTCGTTTGAATTGTTGGTGCTGCTCTCTGGCTTTCTCCCAAATCCAGAATTGCAGACTTCAGTTCTCTCAATCTGGTTTGAACATTGCACTTCCAATTATTCTGAGCTAAAAATTCATTGAACCAACTGTCCGTTTAAAGCAAATGCTTCTCTTAATCTTTATGTCACAGCCTCAACACGGCTGCAACAGTATGGACAATCTCCTTTGGGCTTGGAGCAGCGACAAGGTCAGTCCGTGAAAGTAATATTTTACGAATTACTTAACAACATGCATGTAACATTGTTGTGCAATGACTATGGATGGGAGCAGCACGCGGGTGTCAAATGAGCTGGGAGCAGGACATCCCCGGACAGCGCAGGTAGCTATCGGTGTTAGCGTTGCAACGGCAGCTTCACAGGCCATTCTGATAGGATCAGTTCTGCTACTGACACGCAAAGTCTTGGGATACGCTTACAGCAACAGCATCCCAGTTGTTGAGTATGTGTCTTCAATGATGCCTATTGTCGCCCTCTCCAATTTCTTTGATGGCCTTCAGGCTGTTCTTTCAGGTTAATTTTTTCTATATCTCTTGCAAATATATTTTGACACCTTCAAATATAAAAAGTTTAGAACTTTTTGGTGTGATGCATAACTCTCACAGTATATATGTTTTTGCCTAATTTTTTCATATATAGGGGCTGTAAGGGGGTCTGGGTTGCAAAAGGTTGGAGCATTCATCAATCTTGGATCATATTATATTGTGGGCATTCCTTCGGCTCTTTTGATGGCTTTTGTTTTTCACATTCAAGGAAGGGTAATTGCTATAACACTTGAAACTAATTTTATTCTTCTTTTTCATTGGAACTATACATCTATACATTATATCTAACAATATTTATATCATTGTACAAATCTAACACAGGGCCTGTGGTTAGGGATTATATGTGCATTGCTAGTGCAAGTGACTTCTCTTTTTATTATCATTGTCCGTACAGATTGGGAACAACAAGTAAGTGTCACCCCACTTCATGCTCTCTTTTACTATAAGTCTATAATTGTTCAATTATTATTTGGTTATATTTCATGCTAAACTCAATTAATTCATGTTATATACTCCGGTATTTGTTTATTTTCATGTTATTTATGTTTATGATCTAAAGATTAGCAAATAGAAACCTAAAAAAATCTGGAACTAAAGTGGCAATGCAAAATTACAAACACAAGGAATGAACCTAGAATTGTAGGGTCCGCGGGATACTGCATGCCAAAGGTCCGGACCCACACTATTAAATAAAAATATTGTTTACTTGTGTCCTTGACAAGTTTTTTCATAGAAAATGATTTCCAATATTCAGTTGGTGTCAATGATTCGGGCAATGCGTGTTAAATCTTGTATTTTTCACAGGCGAAAAAAGCTAGAGAAAGAGTCCTATTCTGCTATCCCAATTGAGGCAGTTTCATGAAGGAGCTATCAAGATGTTATGTATTGTAGAGTACTAAATTAAGTGATGAATATTTTTTGAAACATTGTAATTTTTGACTTTGTGCTAAATAAAAAATTTGAGATGAAATTAGCTGGTAAATGCGAATGCGATTGTCACATAAGAGTGGACACATTTGTCCACAAACCAACCAAGAAAAACGTTTCAACCAATAATAGCAGTTTGACCTTTATTATTTCAATTAGTGAAAACGTTGATCTATGTTGTTTGCTAAATAGTTGTTCGACCCTAGTGTTTGTGGACAGAATTGTTGAAATACAAACACTACAAATAGCAGCATTTTGGGTTCATAATTCATTAACCATTACTTTTCAAACATGCCACTAAACCAAACTTATAGTGGAAACTAATCCGAACTATTTACGATTCTTCTATTTATTGTATTAAATCATTCGATTCTTGTTCCAAACCGCCATTGGGATTTGGGAAAGTCAACCGCTCTAGTACCACCAATTTCACTACAAACATATGTAATTAGACAAGTGAGAGTGATTTGGGTGAATCACTTTTCCACAATTAAGATTCTCCTCATATGGTATTGTTTTGAGTTCAAGTCACTAAATAGTGAATTTGAGAGTATATTTTCAAATGATGATCTCTAGCCCTCGGGACTAGCTCGTGTGGTCGCACCGTCATTGTTTTACTTTGCCTCAAGCGGCAATGTGGGAGTTAGCTTCTTGTCAAGAATCTGATCGTGTTTGGCCAATGATCGGCGATTCTCCCAGGAGTTGTGATGAGAACTTGAGTAATTTCACAATTAATCATTTAAGAGTGATTTCTTGTGCACGGTGGTGTATAGATGACAGTGTAAACCTAGTGCTAATAAAAAGTGTAATCAGAGAAACAATACCGAGGAAAAGAATATCGATAACAAAGAAGTACCAAGACTAAGAATTTTGATAGTTTGAAAATAACTTTATGCAAGATTGGGCGATTGCTCTGTTTTTTATTTATGTTCTGTATTTTTGGACAAAAGAACACTATAAATTGGTTGATCCCCACATACAAACCCAATCAAGCCCCCAATTTTTGGTATGTACCCGAGCATACCCATTAATAAGCGGTGAGCAAGCATACATTAAAAATACCTAAATATACTTGTGCCAAAACAGAGTAGACATTCCTCAGAAGTATCTGTTCAACCGGACGGATTATGTTGGATTGCCGTAACTAACGCCAAGTAAAAAAAAAGCTTCAATACGTACAGTCAGGGCATTACTCATTCACAAAAACAGGGTTCGTAAAGACGTTATGTGGGCAAAAGAAAAGGCGGAATGTCTATGGGTCTTTGGGGGATAATATACACATACACATATATACGATAAATATTTTTTCTCCTGAATCTTTCATAACTTGTACCCACGTTATTTTTAAAAATCGGATTAAAATGTATAATCTTTAGACTTTATATGAAAGTTATGATTAATGAGCTTGGTTCTAATTAATAAAGTATGAAACTTCACAAGTAGGCTTAAAACCGAAACTAATATCATTTTTTTCGCTTTTTAAAACTTCTTACAAGAAAAGACTCGTAACATTTGTCTTTCATAAATAGACCGAATGACCGACCACTCACTTGAGTTACGGAGTATACATTTTAAAGAAGCGTGCGTGAGGATCCCGCTCTACGGCTACACATCCTCTTTGATGAACTAATAAAAGCTCAAAAATTTACTTAGTTTATGTTTATAAATAAAACAATCTAAAAATTTATGAAAATGTAAAATTATTTAAATAATAAAAAACAATAAGAAACGTAAAATATATATATATATATATATATATATATAAATTAAAAAAATAATTAAACTAAGAAAAAAATGCATAATAGTAAATACAAAATATAACTAACCAAGTATAAATATAAATAATAGAAAAGATATTTAAATTTTCAAAAATTAGTCAGAAAAATGTCAAAGTAATTATTGAAACCTTATAAATACAGAACTCAAAAATAAAAACGAAACACGGTTTAAAGTAGTTTAAAGATTGTAAACAAAAAAAGAGTTTTTGTAAACTGTAATATAACTTTTTTAAAAGATTTCTTATACCCCATACTTATAAAAAATGTTTAAAAAATAAAAATAACTCTAAAAAGTTTATAAAATTACAACAATACAAAAAGAAAAGAATATAAAAATATAAATATTAAAATGTAAGAAATCAAAACATTTCTCAAAATAGAAGAATGTCAATTTTTCTTGACAAATTTAAAATCTTCAAAATTATAAAAATTAAAATATAAATAAAACGAAATGTGATTTTTATGGTTCATTTTTGTTTCTTTTTGTTGATAATTCTGTAGATTTTGTTTTTATTGTTTCTTTATATTTTTAGTTGTCGTTTTTATATTCATAAATTCAAATTTATTATTTTAGATGTTTTTATACAAATCTACGCAACTATAAATAAAATGCAACATGATTTTTATTGTTTATTTTTGTTTCTTTTTGTTGATAATTTTGCAGATTTTGTTTTATATTGTTTTGACGGAGGTAGATATATATAAATATATAGTACTAGCTTTCAAGCCCGTGCGATGCACAGGCAGATGTAATTTAGCTAATTTGATATTTGATTTCTTTCGGATCATATATAATGTGATTTAAAAGAAAAATAAACTTAGTCTAATATAGAGCCTGTTTGATAATACTAAAATAAATTGAATTAACTTATTTTACTCAAATTGATTAAATTATGACTGAATGAGCTAAATGAGTGGAATCATGAAAAAATATGTAAAATATATTCCATTTGTGAAGCCAGAAAAAGATTATATGAAAAATAGTTAAATTGATCTTCTACATAAGCATCTCGAGTAAATGTAATTGCTTTGAACCCGATTTTAAACGTTTAATATAATCTTATGAAGATGGATATTCATAGAAATTTAATACGGAGTATATATTAAGTAAAATAGTCTAAATATAGAGCCTTTTTTTAAAAAATTGTAAGCCTAAACGTATAAACATATACTATAACATTTAATTGTTATAATGGAATTAAAACGTATAATTCTAACACATAATTCTAAGCCTAAACGTATACTATAACATTTAATTGTTATAGAAATTAAAACGTATTATATTTTTGGCTAAGAATACCTGTAATATACTCGTATAAACTTAGCCTAAAATAGAGCCTGTTTAATATACATAGTAGTACTTTCTACGGATTTTTGTTTCCATATCAATATGCAATCAAAAATAGAATCTAGCCAATAAAAATAGAAGGTACAAATTAACTAAATAATTAATATATAATGACATGGTAGGATTATGTGACGCTTTGTATGCTCTTAAAAAGTTCCTCTTTTATATATATATATATTGATTGATTGCAGTAGTTATGGTATAATAACAACAAACACCGATTTGTTAACACGAGTAAGGATGGCCTGACGTAAGGCTGACTGCAACCCGAAGAGTCAAAAGCCAATATTGGGATTTTCATCCCTTAATTTGCTGCAACCCATGTATACGAGGATGCCAAATTGAGAGAATGGCACCCCATGGAGTGGAAATTGGTATCCCTATTCACCGGGTGATGAAAGCAGTTGGAGCAAGTCTGCACTACTTCCATAAGCAAGGGCCCACGAATATAAAATATCCCAATTTTTTTGAAAATGATTTAACTTTTCTATTATTAATTTAATTTTTATAAAAAATATATCAAAATTCATAATTTTTAATTATCTTTCATATGACATCAATATCTCTTATATATATTTTTTTTTTAAAAAGTATTACGTATGAAAGTTTCATCTGTTTGAGATTTTTAGGCCCAAAATCTTAGAGATCCAAATGCTAATATTAAGATCCAATGGTTAAAATATTTATTTACACTTTTCACTTAATTTTCGAAAAAATAGGTCAGAAGTAGCAATAAAAAAATAAAACTCCAAATTTATTTATTTTTACATCGGAATGTTTGATATTTCAAATCATAATTATTCATAAAAAAAGAATGACAAAAAATTGATGTATAAAAACATAAGTAAGGATTCAATTCAATAAAACTTTACTGAGTGAATATATTGACGGTGCTGGGTTGCAGGAAAAATTGAATTGACCGAGTAAATACGTATAAACTGGTGGGAAAGTAGATTTATTGACGGCGAAGGGTTGCGGGTAGCCTAAGGATGGTATAAGGATCGGTGTTTGAACCCCCTAGGTAACCAGTGTTTATAATTTTATTGCCACGCCTAGTAAATTTTTTTAACACTGGTATCTAGTGTTAAAATTTTCAAATTTTCTGTCCAAAATCTTTGTCTCACACGGAAGGGGAGAGAAAAGTTACTCCTTCAAATCTATACGCATCAGTTTTTTACATTGGGTTTTGAATGATAGTATAAAACTATAAAAAATAATTAGTTCAAATCATTGGAATTTTGAACATTAATCTGAAAATTAAGTAGGACAATTCATTAGGGTTTTTTATAAGGAATTTTTCACAAATAGACTAAAAATGAAAATAATATCACTTTTTTCAACTTTGACACTTTATTTCAAAAATAGGCTAGTGCGGTTCTTTTCAAAAATAGTTGTTCGTTGGACTACACACGTATCTCCTTTACAAAAATGATGTTTGTACCCACTCTTATACCCACATTTGTATCCACCTATGTTTGTGAAGTGTTTTTATTTTGTCTGTGAATCCCGGTTCATAGACAATATTTTGCACAAACAAAATATTGTCTGAACCGGGTTCACAGACAAAAAAACACTTCATAAACATGTTTGTTCATTCTTCACATTATCAATGATGAAATGAATTAAGATTTTGGTTTTCAAAAAAAAAACATGTTTGTTCATTTTCAATTCTTTGTCAAGAGATGTACGGTAGAATGGAAGTTCCGTACTGCCGCTATACGTAAGCCTCCTAATCTTGCTTGATCACTCTTTTTTTTTAAATCAAAACCGAAAAACAAAATGTTAAGATTGATAAAAAAAAATAAAAACAAAAAAATCATAAAAATAATTAACTACGGAAGAAAAAAACTGGAAGTCCAAAATATGAAAATAAAAAAAATAAAAAAAATATGACTATTAGTTATTGCAATGAGAGAAGTGAAAATAAATGAGAGAAGTGAAAATAAACATGTATAAAATTATAGAAATACAAAAATATTACTCAAATAAAACTTATTTACACAAATATGACTATTTGTTATTGCAATGTAGTGTCATAGTAATTTAAGTTTAAAAATTGAACATAAGTTACTATGATTTCATTACTACTCTAGTCACTAATCACATTTTTGTAAGCAATCTTCAT